TTCCCAGCTAAGAAGAAGAACACAGGAAGTATCTTGAGTGTCTTGTTGGATTCAGAGATGTGGTGTCCAGAATTCATCTGGACAGCCAATGAGAGGAGACTGAGGTTAAAATGTTTTCAGAGACATCAGCATATTTCAACGTATTCTTTCCCAGACATCAAGAATTCTTTTCTTCTTCGTGATCGCCATTTCATTCCAGTTAAGCTACTTTCTGCCTCATTACAATTAGGATCCCAGATGTGGATAAACTTAGAATGACTCTCAACTCTGCTGTGGCCTCTGCAAAAAGACAAGTGACAGAGACACAGACACACCAGGCTGCTAGTGTGGTATGTGTAATAATACCTTTGTGAGAGCAAGTGGCTGAGTGTCTGTCTAACAAATGAATGCTGAGTACTATGTTGCAGGGAGCATTCTCTGGGAATGCATCACTGTCCTGGATCTGATTTTAAATGCTAAGTCAGAAGACCTAAGGTGTGATGACATTAACAGATCTTATGACTATCTACTTAATAGAGCTAACATGGTTGAAACAGCTAAAAATCAAGTCCAATAATAGGAACTGTGTTGTTGTTAAGTACCGTCGAGTCAGTTCTGACCAATAGTGACCCTGAATAGGGTTTCCTAGGAGCAACTATGGATGGGAGAAAAAAAAAAAAAGGTCACATAAACATTATATTATGTGTTATGTTAAGTGCCATCGAGTCAGTTGTGACTCATCGCAGTCTTGTAGAGGGTTTGCAAAGAGCAGCTGGTGGGTTTGAACTGCCAACCTTGTGGTTAGCAGACCAGTGCTGATCCTACAGAGCCACACCAGGAGTCCATAAACGTAACAATCTACGCCCTAACACCAGAAGTCCACATAAACATACCATCTATTAAATAGAATTAAATGTTTGATCTAACCATGTTGCTACATATATATTAAGAATTGGGAGTGTCAAAAAAAAATGACTTGAACGTTTTATTACACAACAGACCTCTAAGCTACTAAAGGGACATGGTACATTCATAGAATTTCTAGGCTTTGCCCAACTTTCTATTTTCTCTTCCATCACTATTATCCCTGACTGTGCTGAGCTGGCTTTAACAAAGCTTCCCATTCCTTTTCCCTTACTTAACCCTTTTGCATACCCTAATGATGATGATATCTTTGGCAAATTTCAGCTTCAGACTTCACAAATGCTGTTGTTTTTCTTTTAAATGAAGGTATTTGTGTAAAGAATATCAAGATAAACCTTTTTTTTTTGTAAATGTGCACTTTATGTGTATCACTTATTGACTGGTGTGGCACTGTGGGTTAATGCACTGGACTGCATAGTCAGTTTGAACTGCAAGGTCGATGGTTCAAGCTCACCGGTCACTCCTCGGAAACCCTATACAGGGTTTCTATGAGTCAGAATCAACTCAACGGCACTTAACAACAATAAAACAACCATGCCCTGGTTTTGAAGACAGTAGCAGGAGAAATCTGAATGTGATTTCATGTAAATGGGATCCTAAAGTATTTGTCCTTGTTCTCACTTAATTCGTTAGCATAATGCTCTCGCAGTTGATGGAGCTAGGAATATGCATCAGAATGGTACACGGTAAGGGGATATTATTCATTTTCATATTCTTAGCATCTAGCCTGTTGTTGTTGTTAAGTGCTGTCGAGTCGGTTCTGACCCATAGCGACCCTGTATAGGGTTTCCTAGGAGCAGCTGGTGAGCTTGAACCACCGACCTTGCAGTTCAAACGGCTTTGCAGTCTGGCACAGCCAGTCATTGCTAAAGTGATATTGAAAAAGTTTGAGTGTGGCAAGGTCTCTGAATTGCTTATTTTAATAATATCTGGGTTTATTTTAGCTCTCTCTTTGTACTCTGCTCATTGTTTCAGAAACACAAAGAGAATGGATCTATTTGAGAGTTTTCTAGATGCACATGTATGTTTAGGGTAGCCATGATTTTCTGTGGGATACCAAAGACAGGAAAGAAGCATGTTGTTGTTGTTGTTGTGTGCCATGGAGTCTTTTCTGACTCATAATGACCCTGTATAGGGTTTCTGAGAAGTGGCTGGTGAGCTTGAACCTTGCAGTTCAAACCAGCCTTGCAGTCCAGCGCATTAGCCCACAGTCAGCACACCAGGACTCCAGGAAAGAAGAACTTGGTTTTTCACCAATATAAAACAACTCTAGGATTAAATATATCAAAGCATTAATCCTTCACTAAGACTGAGACCACAGCAGTAACCACGTAGGGAAAGCATACAGAGAAATGGAAAATGTTCCGTAAATGTATGGGAGGGCGATGTGTGTTGTGGTCAGAACATAGGAATCTGGCCACCAGGCCAGTCAGTGACTAACTCTAGACCTGCAAGCCACTTACCATCACTGGTCATCCATTTCCTCATCTGGAAAACAGGTACTTCCTAGTATGAAATAGACCATTCTAAGAAGTTAAGAAAAAAACCCATTTACTTCTTAGAATGAAATAGAACAGCAAATGACAAAGGGCATTGTAAATTGTACCTTGTCCAAATTTCATTAGGATCTTGGTGGCTAATATCTAAGAAACTTCTCAAAACACCATATGAGACTGTTGAACCAAAGCATTTCGTGACTTTCTTTGCTGGTTTCCTTCTATCATATAATATGAAGCCATCCGGACTGTATACTATTGCCTTTGCCATAACTAAGAGAATGAACTTAACTGCTCCATGCTTTGTGTGTTTTTAAATCAATATGCTTTACAAAATGAGCAAAAAATGCCAGCAAAAACACACACAAAAAATACAACCTCAATTCCACTTTCTTTATCCCTTCCCCTGGGATAAAGAAAGTAAGTGGATTTTTGTAAACCAGCCACTCTTCTATGGAGAAGTTCCCCATTTCAAAGGACCTATTTTCTAGTTAGGTATAAAGATAAGAGCCATTTAGGAGTAGTGTGAAAATTCACAAGCCACAAACAATATGAAATGAAATATCATTGCTAGATAAATCCCCCAGTCAACAAGTAAGTGACTGACCACAAATACTCTACAAGAAGCAGTCTAATCAAGATAGCAAAAGCCCACTCTTCACCCTCACAATAATCAAGCAAGTAGCAGGGGTATGCCCTAAGACAAGGACTGTTAACCATTTCTATTTGCTCACAGTAGGCAATAATAATGCGATAGGAAAAGTAGAAATCGGGAAGACAAGGAGACTCCAACACATTCAGCAGATTCCAAACAACCAGGCATGCACAAAGCCAGCCAGGCCAGTGCTGGGTCCCCAGTGCAAACCTGGCAAAGCGCTGTGCCGCTGGCATAACCTTGATTCCAGCTTGCTCTAGCCTTCTGAGCTTCTGGATTTCAGCAGCAAAATTTTCTTCAGACTTGAGAGCAGGTGCCACAGTAACCCCCGGCTCCTCATCACTGCCATCGGGTAGTTCTAACCCACCACCAGAAGACTGCCCACCAAGGTCCATGTGGCTGGAGAGGTCCTCTTCACAAGGAGACCCCATTTCACTGCCCTCTTCCTCTATTGTTTCAGGATAGCTAGTGAGTTGGACGATATGGTTAACAAACTAAAACACAGAACTGGGGTTGAGACCACATGCCAGCTCCTGGCCAAACCAATATTACTTTTCATTTAAGAAGTAAAAAATGATAGCATACAATGTGGCCCTGGCAACGCAAAGAACATTAAATGGAGTCTTTTAAGACAATACAACAGAGTTGTAACAGTCATTAAGAGCTATTCTAAACTCAATATTGAAAAACCCAAAATTTTTCCTATTGGAAAGGTAAAATTCATTAGTTTTGTTGAATATTTAAAACTTCCAATACAACATCTAGTCAATGGAAAAACCATTGATAAAAATGATGCATAACTAGAAACATTTAACAATCAGAGTGGTTTTACTGACAGAATTAGACCAGACTTGTAAGCTTCTTTTATTGGACTGCAAGCTTCCTGAAGACAGGGCTCTTAGTTAATACTCAGTCTCCAATAATTAGGAAACAACACCTAGCACACAGTAGATGCTCAGTAAGTTTTTATTAAAAACTGAATAAATAAATATAACAACATAGTCAGAGATGAAGTAGAACACTAGTTGTTCCTCTACAGAGATGAGACATCAAATGCATCTTATATCTATTACAGCTATTTCTACATGCAATCTCAAAGCGTGTTCCCTGAGTTTCTTGTACATGGACTTACATCTAGACAAGGAGGTTTCCTGTATACAGAGAAGAGCCTAACAGGACTGGCAGTCAGGGAGAACATGGGTGATTCTTTCAGCTGTGCTGGACGCCTCCTGCCTATGTAACTAGTTTCAGAAATCTGCTCATTAGAAAGTTCTGATGCATATTCCTAGCTCTGTAAACTAGGAAAGCATTATGCTAATGAAATAAGTGAGACACAAGACAAATACTTGGATCCCACTAGGATCCCACTTATTTGAAATACCTAGAAGAGGCAAACGCATAGAGAGCAAAGTAGTTTAATGGTTTCTAGGAACTGAGGGGTGGGAAGAAGGAGGAGTTACTGCTTAACAGGTACAGAGTTTGGTATTGTTGTGATAAAATGTTTTGCAAATAAAAGTGGTGATGGTTACACAACATTGTGAATACAGTTTCACTGAATTACACACTTAAAAATAGCTTAGGTATATATATACTAAAAAGTAAGAAAGTTCATGGAAAAATCCCATTATCTTTTCATTTCCTTTTTCCATGAACTTTTTGTAGGCCGCCTGTATAAAATAGAATAAAAACTACCCTGGTTTTGTTTTGTTTTGTTTTGTTTTTAGATAAGTCTTTGTTGAATAGCTACTGTATCCTGACACTGTTCCAGGTGGCTTTATGAAGCTGATAATCATGACAAAGTGTCTCTAAGGATGTGTCCTGCTCACATCCACTTGGAATCTTTCATCAAAGTTCTGCAGTAGCTATTTAACCTCATGTTCAAGAGTTGTACTAGCGATATGACTTGCACTCAGACCAGGAAATGAGCAGCAAAGCTTCGTGCTTACCTGAAGGGCCTTTCTCCTCCCAGGGGGGAGGTGGCGGTACTCCAGCTCTTCCTGTACTCCTCTCTTTCTGCTTTCTTCTTTCTCAGAGGAGCAGGGACGTAGGCTGTCTGGTTGCTTTTGTTCGGGAGGTACTGGTTAAAAGGCACTGCTGATTTCGGCTCACCGTGGGACGTCCGCCTTGCAGACATATCATCCTTCTTCACATCTGGAAGCTTGCGATGAGGCAAGTCAGACTCCGAGTCACTTCCTCTCCCTGAAACAGAGAGGATGAGTGTTGAAAAAGTGTGTTGGGTTATCAGAAAATTCCCAATGGCAAGTGTGCAGTATTAGGGATGTGGTTAGATCTGTGGGCTATGGAGATTCCTTCCTTAAATTATTCACTTAACAAATCTAAAGTATCAGTCTAAATTAGTCCACTCTGGGAAATTCACTCAACTCTAATCAAGAAGAAGGAAAAAAAAAAAAGGACAATTTAAGAAATAGAGGTGAACCAAGCTGTATCTAGGAATTACAATTAACAACATTCGCAGTAGAACTATTTGCCTTCTGAAATTAAGCAACTCTCAAAACAACAACAAAAAAACTTCAATGAACTGGTGGAGTTGTTAATGACCACCTGCTGCATGTCTTACACTATACAAGATGCCTGACACTAAGAATTGTAAAGGATTTTGTCTTTGAGGTATCTTTAACTGATTCATGAAACATCTGGTAAATGTAAGTTACAATTCAGAACAATAGGAATACAAAAAAAATAACCAATTTGAGTTACATAAGGGTTTGCTTTCCAGGAAGTAGTTTGAATTATAATAAGCAGCTCTTCTACCTGGGAGCCCTTCTGATTGCCATAGCTGGAGACAATCTTTCTTTCCAGTGAAAGAATTTATGTCCCTGGAATCCAGACTTTCTGGATCCATGGAGGCTGGATTTGCTCCCAAATGTATTGCTCTGGGATCCTTAAACCAAAAAACATTCCTTGAAGTCTTCTTAAAACCAAATAATACTTTAGCTTAACTACTGAATGTTGGCTTTGAGCATTGTGCTCTTTCAAGAGTTATCTATAGAGGATCAAATTGACAACAGCAACTCAAGAGAGTAGTTAGTAATCTTATCTGGTATAATCATATGCTAACGAGCTCTGGTAGTGTAGTGGTTACGAATCGGGCTGCAAACTGCAAGGTCAGTAGTTCGAAACTAACAGCTGTTCCATGGGAGAAAGATGAGGCTTTCTGCTCCATAAGGATTTACAGCCTCAGAAACCCTGAACAGACTATGAGTCAGAACTGACTCCACGGCACATAACAACAACAACAACAACAACAACAACATAGTTATATGCTAATTAGGAGGAAAAACTTGGAACAGGAGAGTTAGAATGGCACCACAACCAGATGAATGTAATCAATGTCATGGAAATGTAAATGTAGAAATTGTTGAACTGGTGTATGTTCTGCTGTTGATATTCCTAGCTGCAACAGCAAAAATAAAATAAATTATATATATTCAGTAGCCTCATCTGCATGTGAAAGTTGGACAATGGTGAGGAAAACCTAAAGGAAAGGATGCATTTGAGTTATGGTGTTTGAGAATATTAAAAGTACCATGGGCTGCCAGAAGAACAAATACATTCATGTTGGAAGAAACACCGCCAAAATGCTCCTTAGAAGCCAGGATGGTCAGACCTTGTCTCTCATACTTTGTGCATATTATCAGGAGGGACCAGTCCCTAGAGAAGGAGCTCATGCTCAGTAAAGTGGAGGGTCAGTGGAAAAAAAGGAAGAACCCTAGTAAGATGGATTGACATAGTGGCAGCAGGAATAGGCTCAAGCATAAGAACAATTGTGAGGACGGTGCAGGAATGAGGAGTGTTTTGTTCCATTGTTTATAGGGTTGGAACTGACTCCACAGTACCTAACAACAAATGATGGTAGTGTTGCTGTTATGCTGTGGAGTCGGTTCCAACTCATAGCAACCCTGCATCATGCACAGGGTTTCCAAGGCTGTAATTCTTTTTAGGAACAGAAAGCCTCATCTTTCTCCTGTGGAATGGCTGGTACTTTTGAACTGCTGACCCTTGAGGTTAACAGCCTGACCCATAACTACTACACAACCAGAGCTCTTTAACAATGTATCTCTATTTCTCTATGTCTATCTCTATTTATCATCTATCTATCCATCTAAGGAGCTCTGGTAGCGTAGTGGTTATGAATTGGGCTGTGAACCGCAAGGTCAGCAGTTCGAAACTACCAGCTGTTCTGTAGGAGAAAGATAAGGCTTTCTGCTCCTGTAAAGATTTATAGCCTCGGAAACCCTGTACAGGGTCACTGTGAGTTGGAACCAACTCCATGGCACATAACAACAACAACATCTATCTATTTATTTATATGGCTCTCAAGGGATGGTTGGTGAATTTGAACTGTTGACTCAACAGCACTTAACAACAATAATATGTGTGTATGTATGTATATATATTGGCAGTTCAAGAACCACCAATATACAAGAATACATATATATATATATACTGTTGATACATATCATAAAGATGAGATATTTTGCTCCCACAAAATTTTACAGCCTCAGAAACCCTATAGAGTGTCACTTGCTGGGGCAACTCCACAGCATTTAACAACATATGTGAGTCAGAACTGAATTGACGGCACTTGACAATAACAACAATATGTGGTCCTGGTGTGGCGGTGTGGGTTAATTCACTGGAGTATAAAGTCGGTTTGAATGGCAAGGTTGCAGTTCAAGCTCACCAGCCACTCCTTGGAAACCCTATACAAGGTCATTATGGGATGGAACCAACTCAACGGCACTTAACAATAACAAAATATGTATGTTATTGTTGTTAGGTGCTGTTGAGTAGGTACCAACTCATAGCTGCCCTATGCACAACAGAACGAAATACTGCCTGGTCCTGTGCCAACCTCACAATTATTGATACTTTGAGCCCATTGCTGCTGCCCCTGTGCCAATCCATTTCACTGGGGTCTTCCTCTTTTTTTCTGACCCTCTACTTTACCAAACATGATATCTTTAACCAGGAACTGGGCTCTCCTTATAATATGTTCAAAGCAGGACAGACAAGTATGGCCATGCTGGCTTCCAAGGAGCCCTCTGGCTGTGCTTCTTCCAACACAGATATGTTTGTTCTTTTGGTCGTCCATGGTACTTTTTTCTCCTCAAACACTATAACTCAAATGCATCCATTTTTCTATGGTCTTCTTTATTCACTGTCCAACTTTAACATGCATATGAGATTATTGAAAATACCATGTCATGGCTTGGATCGGGCACAACTTAGTCCTCAAACTGATATCTTTGCTCTTGAACACTTTAAAGTGATCTTGTACAGCAGATTTGCTAATGCAGTATGTCATTTGATTTCTTGACTGCTGCTTCCATGAGTTTTGATGATTGATCTGAGAAAAATGAAGTCATTGGCAATTTTAATTGTTTCTCCATTTATATGGTTGTTGCTTATTGGTTCAGTGGTGAGGATTTATGTTCTTTACATTGAGGTACAACCCATACTGAAGGTTGAGAGGTATTTTAGGTTCTCTTCACTTTTAGCAAGCATGGTTGTGTCATGTGCATATTGCAGGTTGTTAATGAGTCTTCCTCCAATCCTAATGCCACATTTTTCTTCATATAATCCAGCTTCTCACATGATTTGCTCACAGCATATAGATTGCATAAGTATGGTGAAACAATACACACCTTTCCTAATTTTAAACCCTTCAGTATTCCCTTGTTCTGTTCGAATAACTGCCTTTTGGTCTATGTACAGATTCCTCATGAGTACTATTAAGTGTTCCAGAATACTGATTCTCTGCTATGTTGTTCATAGCTTGTCATGATCCACACAACTGAAAGCCTTTGAGTAGTCAATAAAGCACAGGTAAACATCTTTCTGGTATTCTCTGCTTTCAGCCACGATCCATCTGATGTCAGCAATGATATTCCTTGTTCCATGTCCTCTTCCAAATCCAGCTTGAACCTCTGGAAGTTCTCTGTCAATGTATGGGTACAACCATTTTAGAATTATCTTCAGCCAAATTCTACTTGCATGTGATATTAATAATATTGCCCTATGATTTCTACAATCTATTAGGTCACCTCTCTTTGGAATGGGCACATTCTCTTCTAGTCAGTTGGCCAGGTAGTTGTCTTCCAAATTTCTTGGTGTAGATGAGTGAGTGCTTCCAGGGCTACTTCAATTTGTTGAAAGATTTCAATTTGTGTTCCATCATTCCTGGAGCTTTGTTCTTTGTCAATTCACCTTAGACTTCTTCCTTCAGTAACATTAGCTCTTGATCATATGTTACCTCTTGACATGGTTCAACATCGAACTTTATTTTTGTTACAGTGACTGCATATTCCTTCTGTCTTCTTTTGATGTTTTCTGCATCATTTAATATTTTGCCCATAGAATACTTCAATTTTGCAAATTGAGGCTTGAATTTTTCTTCAGTTCCCACATCTTGAGAAATGTTGAGCATGTTCTTCCCTTTTGGTTTTCTAACTCCAAGACTTTGCACATTTTCTTAAAATTTTGACTTTGTCTTTTTGAGCTGACCTTTGAAATTTTCGATTTAGGTCTTTTACCTCTTCATTTCTTCCATTTGCTTTAGCATCTCCATGTTGGAGAGCAAGCTCAGAGTCTTCTGATATCCATTATGGTCTTTTTCTTCTTTCTTGTCATCTTAATGATCTTTTACTCTCTTCCCATATGATGTTCTTGATGTCATCTCACAATCTTTTGATCTTTTGTCTTTAGTGTCTAATGTATCAAATCTGTTCTTCAGATGTTCTCTAAACTAAGATGGGATATGCTCAAGGTCATATTTTGGCTCTTGTGAACTTGTTTTCATTTTCTTCAGCTTCAGCCTGAACTTGCATATGAGCAATTGGTGGTTTGTTCCACAGTCTGCCCCTAGCCTGTTTTTTTTTTGGCTTTTCCACCATCTCTTTCCACAGATGCAGTCAGTTTGATTTCTGTGCATTTTATCTGATGAGGTCCATGCGATAGATGTTTTTTATATTGTTTAAAAAAGTATTTGGAAATCAGTAAATCATTGGTCTTGAAAAATTCTACCATGTGATCTCCAGTACCTTTTTTATTACCAAGGCTACAGTTTCCAGGTACTGATCCTTCCTCTTTGTTTCCAATCTTTGCATTCCAATTGCTAGTAATAATCAATACATCTTGATTGCATGTTTGATCAATTTCAGACTGAATAACTTGGT